TCTTTTTGCCAGAAAAGAAATATAAAATTCTTTTTAATTACCAAGAAGAAAAAGAAAAAAAACTATTCGCAAATTCGCAGGTCTTAAATTGGGTCAGCGTTGTTCCCCAAAAACAAAAAAAAACAAAAAAAAAACTACAGATGCAAATTGTGTTTGGAAAACACAAAAACTGTTGCAGTTCGAGTGAAATGCGTATAATAAAAATGCCTTTAATGCGTTTTTGGAAATGCACTATTTGCAGTCCAACTGCAAGTGTATGTATAGGAGCGATAGGTATAAACTATAGATACCTATTTTGTTGGCACAATGCCATTGTTATTTTGGGTGTTACATGCGCATAATTATTTCTGACTGATTAATATGATTTATATATTTTATGGTCCGTTTGAGTTTGTTGCAATGCATCACGATCTCTGCATTGCATGTGGGCTGGCCAAAAACATGGGTTATAAATAAAATTATGCAAATTACGAACTAACGATAGATATTATATGAAATGTCTATAAATTCTATTCAATTAAAAATTACACAATATGACATCAAAAGAACTGAACTAAATTATGTTTTCCCCTCCCCATTTATTTGCAGATCGAGCGCGAGAAAGCCGATCTCAGCGTTCAGGTCATACAGATGTCCGAGCGTCTTGAGGAAGCCGAGGGTGGTGCTGAACATCAAGTGAGTTCAACTATGTTTGATATAGGTTTCAAATATATATATATATATATATTTGTTAACAGTTTGAAGCCAACCGCAAGCGTGATGCTGAGCTGTTGAAGCTGCGCAAGCTGCTTGAGGATGTTCATCTTGAATCTGAGGAGACCACCATGCTTTTGAAGAAAAAGCACAACGAAATTATCACGGATTTCCAGGAACAAGTCGAAATCCTAACGAAAAATAAGTCTAGGTATGGCAAAGAAAAAAGGAAAAAGAAGAAGAAAAAGAAACACCCACCAAACACATCCTTCAATCATTCGTTTTTTTTTTGTTTTAGTTTCTTTTTTGTCTTAATGCTTCATCATCCACGACCTGCTGACCCCATTTTGAATGTTTGACCTCGAAATGTTGTGCAAACATAAACACGCATATCCATGTTATTGTTTATTGTCGGTTGTCTGTTCCACATATGCCTGATGCTGATGAAGTGGTGTCAGCTGGCGCTGACTTTTCAATGTCTTCAAACAAGTGCAATAATAAAATGCAAATAACAAACAGCAGCAACAACAATAGCAACAACCTTGCTTGCCCCGCTGACACCAAAAGTGAAATCAGACCATAAACAATTCATCAAAATGCCATGACAAGCAGAAAAAAGCCGAAAAGCTGAAAAGCTGAAAAGCCGCAACGGAAAATATGTTTCCAACTTGCATTGCTTGCAAGTTCTATTGACACAAATTTTGCTCTGCAGCCCACAAATTCAGACAAATATATATAGTATTATAGGTTGAAAAAAACACATTTATATATAATATATATACATATATATATATGTACATAATTTGGTCGGAGACTCTCTTCGCTTGCTACTCATATTTCCAAATCAAATATCCAAAAATAAATGCCAAAGGAATTTTTTTCTTTCGAATTTCAAAATCAACGAGCAAAACCACCAAACCAAATTCAAGGCTGTCTCGACAATTGGGCTGCACGGCGTATGCGTAATGTCAACTGCGTTAATCACTGCTGCAACTACCAATCCAGTTAGTCGCGCTCTGTTGCAATTGCCCATTGTTAGTACAATAATTAAGCTGTACATTCCCTTCCAACTTGATCTGATCTGCTCAGGTACACAAGAATTCTTCAACTAGTTGCGAGGTGCGCCCGAGTTTGCGCACTTTTCCACTTTCGACAAAGCAGTTTTCTCGCTCTCGCCGCGAAGCTTAAAGGAAGCTTTTTCCCAACAACAACAACAGCAACGAAAAACAACTGAAAAACACACAGAGAAAAAAGAAAAGTTTTTACGTTTTCCACACGCACGCAACCATATGTTGTTCCACTACAGCAACAGCAAGAACAACAACAGCAACAGCAACAACAACCACAACACTAACAAATACAACAAAAAGAAGAGAAGCGCATATTTTGGCATTTATTTTTAGAAACATTTTTTAATTTTCATCTACATTCTTGAGCGTTAAGTAGAAGAGATCCACATTTCTGTTGTCGTTGTTCTTGTTGTTGTTGCTGTTGTAGTGTTTGCTGTTGTTGTTGCTCTCTCTCATTTGCACCAACGCCCAACCCAAATATGTCTTTGATTGAATCATATTTAAAATGTGATGATTGTTGTTGTTGTTGTCTCTTTTCGTCCAATTGAACTTTATGGAAATTCGATACGTTTTTCGCTTTTGCAACTTGTGGGTGGGTCAGTTTAAATATTTACGCTAATCACTGTAATTACTTTTGCTTATAATGAGCATGCCTCCCTCTCAAGCGAAAAGTGGAAAACGTTTTGAAATTCCACCGAAATATAAACGAAATATAAATTTTGTATTATGCAATTAAAATAGCTTGCTTCCAGGCCACATGCTCTTAACCTTAAACCTTTCAAGCTTTTGCATATCGATCGGAGAGCTTTCTGCACAGCATGTTGTCAAATAGAAAAGGCTTTGGCTCCAGCCTGGGCTTTTCATTGGCAACTTGCCATTGATCGATAAGCAAAAGCGCTCAAGCGTCAGAGCTTTCTGAAAAGCTTGGATTACAGCGATCTTTATCCTAGCTTGCTCCCGCAGCATATAGAAATCACAGCTTGGCCGCCGATCTCACAAACCATGACTAAGTATTATTGTTTGACCTAACTGAATTGTTATTGAACTCGATATTCTGCTTGATCGAATGCTTACAGAGCCGAAAAGGAAAAGGCTAAATTCCAGGCCGAAGTTTACGAGCTGCTCTCTCAAATCGAAAGCTACAACAAGGAGAAAATTGTCTCGGAGAAACATATCTCCAAATTGGAGATCTCCATTACCGAGCTGAATGTGAAGATCGAGGAGCTGAATCGCACCGTTATCGATATATCTTCGCATAGATCTCGCCTGTCGCAGGAAAACATTGAGCTGATCAAGGACGTCCAAGATCTCAAAGTTCAATTGGACACAGTCACGTTTTCCAAGAGCCAAGTCATCTCCCAGCTGGAGGATGCACGCCGCCGCCTGGAAGACGAAGACCGTCGTCGCTCAATGCTCGAATCTTCCCTGCATCAGGTTGAGATCGATTTGGATGCAACTCGTTCTCAACTCGAAGAAGAGTCCGAGGCGCGCATTGACTTGGAACGTCAGTTGGTCAAGGCCAATGCTGATGCCGCTTCATGGCAAAACAAATGGAATGCCGAAGTGGCAGCCCGTGCCGAAGAGGTTGAAGAGATCCGTCGCAAGTATCAGGTGCGCATCACCGAACTGGAGGAGCATATCGAAGTCCTTGTCGTTAAGGTCAACAATCTGGAGAAGATGAAGACACGCCTCGCCAGCGAAGTCGAGGTCCTCATCATCGATCTGGAGAAGTCTAACAACAGCTGCCGCGAATTGACCAAGACTGTCAACACCCTGGAGAAGCACAATGTCGAACTCAAGAGCCGTCTGGATGAAACCATCATCCTCTTCGAGACCAGCCAGCGTGATCTGAAGAACAAGCACGCCGATCTGCAGCGCACCATCCATGAACTGGACAAGGTCAAGGATGCCAACGGTCAGCTCGGCCGCGAGAACAAGAAACTGGGCGGTAAGTCAATCATATCTCAGCCATCAATCGATTACTTGAACTAATTGACGATTCACTTACTCAGATGATCTGCATGAGGCCAAGAGTGCCATCAATGAGCTGAACCGTCGCATGCACGAGATGGAATTGGAGCTGCGTCGTCTGGAGAATGAGCGTGATGAGCTTACCGCTGCCTACAAGGAAGCCGAGGCTGTAAGTTCCCTTCTCCACACTTACCTGCCAAAATGTTACTAAGAAGTCTTTCACAACAGGGTCGCAAAGCTGAGGAGCAACGTGGTCAGCGTCTGGCTGCTGACTTCAACCAATATCGCCACGACGCCGAGCGTCGTCTGGCCGAGAAGGATGAGGAAATTGAGGCTATTCGGTAAGTGAATTGACACAAAGACACACACACAGACACAGAGTTTCCTGTCTCCCTTGGAAGTTGCCTCTAGTTGTCGACGCCTCTGGCAGACCTTGTGTCTTGCGCTGCCAAATCGGAAGCATTCGGGCCAATGCGAAAGTCAATCGATTGATTTGCAATCGTCGCTGGCTGCAATTGCCAACAATTGATATCAAATTGACCCATTTCGCCAATCAGTACGAATTCAATAGTTGCGCCTAAAGCAACAGCATTAGTTTTCCTCCCAGCAGCGACTCCTTAAATCCTGCTTCTAGCCAGGAAGTTGCCGTTTAAGAAGTTGGTTCGCATATAATCAGAGAGTTGGCCTAAACCAAGACTTTCTTTAACAATCTACGTTAAACATTTCCACAGAAAATTACGCAGTTGTTGTGATTACATAATTGGAAAGACTTTGTGGCAAAGTATACTCCCTACTTGAAATTGGTTCTACAGACATAGGTAGGTGCAAGTTTGATTTGAAAGTTATTGTCGAACTTGGCAAGTGTTTTGGCGCTGAGTGATCTATGGATATTAATAATATTATATTTAATAATGTGAACAAGAAGACTCAGTTTTGAGAATCATTCACTCGTCCACTTTTGAATTGGTTTTCTATACAAAATGTGGCTATTGCATAAAATGCGTGACATTTTGTCATAGTCTTAAAGGCGATGCCAAAATGAATCAATCATAGCACAAAAAGCACAAACATTGACTGCCAAACAGAGACAATAATGATGATGATGATGATGATGTTATTATTGTTCTTGCCACATTGTCGTCATTATGTTGATACCTTTTTGCCGAAACAGCAGCTGAACAAGAAACTGCAATCTTTTTATAGATTTCGACAAATTTGAAAATTTATTTTGCGAAGCAGCAGCAACTGTTGCCAAAACTGAAGACGGGAAAAAAGCAAAGCGACAACAAGTCGACAAAGCTACAAAGCCACAACAACAGCAACCAGCAACCAGCAAACGAGGCGACAAAGCGACAAAGCGACAAACATCATTCTGCAGTTCTCTCCCTTAGTAGCTTTAATTAGAGTATTCATATTCTAAGTGTACAGAAAAGTACTCGCATTCGCACTCTCCATTTTCCATTCCATTGCACCACCACCTCCTCCTCGCCACTCTACTCGCCACCTCACCCACACTGAGAAATGGCGCTCGCATTGCAGAAGCGTCCATCGCGTTTCCGTCATGCAACGGCAACATATGATGATAATTATGGTTATACGATGAATTTCTATCAGCCAATGTTGGACTATTTGGATGCAAAGGCGAAAGGCCTGAAAGTGCAGCAGCCGCATCTGCCATGGGTGAGCGAGCGGGGCCTGAAGCAATATCGCTCCTCGAATACGCTACGGCAATATAATGCCGATGAGATCGTACGCCTGTCGCGCACCTGCGCCGCTCGGGCCGATGAAATTTTGCTTAGCTTTCGGGCGCAGAAACGCTCGCCGTTCAGTGTGCAGAAATTCGTTGACGCAACGCGTGTGGCCAAGCACATTGAACCGGACACAGTTCTTGAGAGATCGCGCCAGCGTCGTCGTCGCCGTCAGGAAGAGCTCGAGGATACAATTAAGCGCGATACGTTAAAGATATTGCAGCGCATTCGCAAAATTGAATTAGATAACGAAGTCGATCAAATGTCTGATGATTTTAAGCGTTCGATACGCGGCAAGTCCGCCAGCGCCATTGCCCAGGCGCTGCTCTCTGAATCCGAGCGAAATATGAAAACCGCCAAGCAGGAGGAGGAGAATTATATTTCCCAGACCCTAGTCCGTTCGAGTCGTGCCGCGTCCCGTGCCCGTTCCACTTCCCCGTTCGAGGGTGGCGTCGGTGGCCATCTGCGTGCCCATGCCGTTCATATGGAGCTGATGGATGATCGATTGGTCGATAAGCTCGACCATCGTGTCTCCTCGTCGCTGCACAATGTGAAGCGTCAGTTGTCGACGCTGAATCAGCGCACCGTTGAATTCTATGCGGACAGCAGGTGTGGTATAGAGGATAAGTGTTGGATTTGTCGCAAGGTTATGCGCACACATCCCAAACTCAAGGACTATTCGTATGTCTATTGGCAGCACTGATTTGTGCCGTGTACATAATTCTGTATGCATGCCACACAGTCTGTAGCCATAGTTGTCTTCAGCCACCCCCCTTCCCACTTCCTCCCCTCCTCCACGAATGCATAATTCATTTCACGGTTCATAACTCAATAATTTCATTGGTAAACTGCGTCTGCGGGCGATGTTCAAATTTGTGCCTAGCCCAGACAACAGTTCTGAATAAATGCGAACATTTTTGACTTTTAGCTCAATTTTTTTTATATTCCTTCTACCACATCCCACAATCTTAGTGTGTCTATTTGTCTCTTTATCCCTCTCCCTTCCACTCTCTCTCTCTCTCTATCTATCTCCCTCTATTGGTTTTCTTGGGAAAATGTGTGTTTTTTGTCTGGTTTAAATGTACAATTTATTTTCGTTTCTAGACGGCTATTTCGCATCTTTCCTCTGGTAGCAGCAGTATAATTGATGCACTTGCTTTTTGGCTTTAATTATGTGTTTTAAGTTTTCTGTCGCACTGGCATTGTATCTTTTGTTTAGTCGTCTGTAAATTATTTCTGCTGAATTTTTACATATTTCGTTTGTGGCTAATTGCAGCGAAACGCTGACTATTTGGCTTGGCAATTTGCAGCTGGCCATCATAATTGCCATATTCTATTCAATGGGACTTTCGAAACAAAGTAGTCACAATTTTGTGATTAAGACACTTGAATTTGTATAACAACAACACAGCAATCAAGGAAAACTTTCTATAACATCAGAAATATTGATTGATGTTAAGCTATATAGATTCGTTCTAGTGAATTGTTCAGATGTCAATAGGAAAATACCTTCAATTGGTTTTAGATTTCATGTTCTTAACATTTTCATTTCATATTCAAGATTCAAATACTTATAATTTACAAGTAATAGTTATGAACTCAATTGCACACTAGCCACTTTGTTAAGCCCCAAAAGTTAGCCATTTAGGGGTACGATTATTTTTCGCACCCCCACAAATAAATATCTTTCAGACAGGTATTTTAACTTGGCAAAGTGTTTCGGCCATTGTTTGACGTGTCCTTCACGACATAAAATCTTATTTTGTTTTTCTCAAAAAGAAAATTGATGCGCATGACAGCAACAAAGAAGCGAGCAAAAAAAAAAAATTCATCACATATTTCTGCGTAGACAATAAACATTGAAAACGAGGCAGAAAAAGAAAAAGAAAAAAATTAAAATTAAATGAAAAATACTTACGTTCGCAAGCAAATCTCAAGCTAAATACCTTGGCAAAGCGACAACAATGAGCACAGATAGATTAAGTAACTAAGAAATGGGCTAGAACACTGAGAGAAATTCAAATGATAAATCAAACATGCAAGGTGTTCAAACTGATGATGCGTATGAGGAAGGAAATTGCATTAGGCAGCATGAAAACATTGTCGATATTTTATATGTTGAATATATTATATTCTAAGGTAAGCATCATTGTAATACTGATTGGATAAATTAGAATTACAATCAAAAGACTAAAATTGTAGACATAAAGTTAGAGTTGATTAAAGATGCAATTGAAGTGCAGCGCACACCTTGAGCAACAACAAGTAGTTTAAATATAAAGCTTAGTCAACAAATTAGTTAAATATAGAACTGAGTAATATCGGTTATTTTGGTATTGATTGTGGGATTGCACTCAACTTGTCAAATGAATCAGCGGCTATAACAATTAGTCAAAATGCAAGTCTGTGGCAGTTTGTGGCATTAGAATAAGAATTCACCTACGCCTAAAATTAGACGCATGATGCGATGATGCAGGTTCTATTTGGCCCGAGTGAGGAACTTAAGATGGAAAATGCTTGGCATGTGAACGCGTTATTTGTGACAAGTTCGATGTCTTTATCAAGCGTATAAATAAATAAAAATTCGCCAATGCAGCGCGCCGCAACACAGTGCATTTTTGACAATGCCACAAAAATCAGCAAACAGCAAACTGCAGCAAGCATAAAACAGAAACAGAAACAGAATCAGAATCAGAATCACAATCACAAACTGAATGCTGAGTGTTGAGAAAATTGTATTTTTGTGGGTCAGACATTGGGGCCAAAAATAGCGCAGAATGCAGAAAGCGAATGAAAGCGATTTTCGAGGTGACAAAAGCCCAGATTTGAGGGCAACTTCCAGCAGAGACTTACATCACTGAACTATATGAACTATATATATATATATATAATGATCAATTGGTATTCTTGGATATCCTTAGCAAGCAGACCAGCATTGAGATCGAGCAGCTTAATGCCCGTGTCGTTGAGGCGGAGACCCGCTTGAAGACCGAGGTGATGCGCATCAAGAAGAAGTTGCAGATCCAGATCACCGAGCTGGAGATGTCTCTGGATGTGGCCAACAAGACCAACATCGATCTGCAGAAGGTGATCAAGAAGCAGTCCCTGCAGCTGACCGAACTCCAGGCCCACTACGAGGATGTGCAGCGCCAATTGCAGGCCACCCTCGATCAGTATGGCATTGCCCAGCGTCGTCTGGCCGGTATGAATGGTGAGCTGGAGGAGGTTCGCTCCAGTCTGGATAGCGCCAATCGTGCCAAGCGCACCGTCGAAATCCAGTGTGAGGAGGCAGCCACACGCATCAATGAGCTGAGCGTTGTCAATGTCAATCTGGTGTCGCTGAAGTCCAAGCTGGAACAGGAGCTGTCCGTTGTTTCCTCCGACTACGAGGAGGTGTCCAAGGAGCTGCGCATCAGCGACGAGCGTTACCAGAAGGTCACCGTCGAGCTGAAGCATGTCATTGAGCAGGTGCATGAGGAACAGGAGCGCATTGTCAAGCTGGAGACCATCAAGAAGTCATTGGAAGTCGAAGTCAAGGTATGTCCAGATCTCTGATCAATTAATCTCTTATAGATTAAACTACACCCATTATCCATCCATAGAACTTGTCCATTCGCTTGGAGGAAGTGGAGCTGAACGCTGTTGCCGGTAGCAAGCGCATCATCAGCAAACTGGAGGCACGCATTCGTGATTTGGAACTGGAGCTGGAGGAGGAGAAGCGTCGTCATGCCGAGACCATCAAGATCTTGCGCAAGAAGGAGCGCACCGTTAAGGAGGTGATGGTGCAGTGTGAGGAGGACCAGAAGAACATCATTTTGCTGCAGGACGCGCTGGACAAGACCACTGCCAAGATCAATATCTACAGACGCCAGCTGTCCGAGCAGGAGGGCGTCTCCCAGCAGACCACAACCCGTGTGCGTCGTTTCCAGCGCGAACTGGAAGCTGCCGAGGATCGTGCCGATTGTGCCGAATCCAACTTGAATATTATCCGCGCCAAGCATCGCACATTCGTCACCACCTCGACGGTGCCCGGTTCCCAGGTGTACATTCAGGAGACAACAAGAACGATCACCGAATAGATAGTTGATCACTGATCCGCAAACACTCACACCCCCTCCCCCCTTTACACACACAAACACACCAACACACACACACACATAAAATATATACACATACACACAGCACCCCCAGCAGCAAACATTTTATAATTAAAAGCAGACAAAACAAGAACAACAACAACTACAACAACAACAACAAAAACAGAACATTTGCAGAAATGAGAACTTTTTGAGAATGAAGATTTGCTTGAGAAGAACAAGAAACTTTTATAATTTAAATTTTTTTCAGAGCTTGCGAGAGTTCGTATAGGTTATACATTATAAATACAAATATAACACTACACATCTCCTATTTATTTATAATAATATTATTTTGAAGTTCATGTAATTTAATTAAAATAATGAACCTAAAACCAAAAAACAAATAAAATTACAAAAAAAAAGTTTAAAAAAAAAGAAAAAGAATCTAAACAAAGGCTTTGCAGCGCTAGAGAGAAAGAGAGAGATTGCTTATAGAGTTTGGCTGATAAACATTAACAACAACAGAAAAATATCCAAAAAAAATAAAAATAAATCAAAAAAAAAGATCAACCAAATCGAACCCCAAAGAACGAGTTACCCGAGTTACAACCGCTTCTACTTGTTTTTAGTTCATTTTATGTTTAGTAGGTAAATATCTGTGTGCTCGTAACGAATTGATTTTACATTAAAAGAAAAACGATTTAAGAAAAACTGAGCAATTTTCATATTTTTACTTTGTATTTTGCAATAAAAACTGAATTTACTTATAATAATAATAACAACAAACAAAAACTCACAAATGCGATGTGTACTACTAATTGGGAGATTGAAGAATACTTACGACTTTAGCGAGGGTACCAAAAAGTGAACTGATCAGAATATCATCTTTGTCGAGTCAATCAATCAATCAACAACGCATTTCTTATTCAGAAATTCTTAAGCCATTAGTTTTTGTATTTTCCCAGCCCAAAAGTAGAATTGAGAAAAAAAAACACAGTTTTGATTTCACTTTAAACTATCACTATTTATTAAGATTTTCAGGTTTTAGTTGGTCCAAATGAGAACTTAAGCAACAGACACTGCCAGTTTGGCACCAGTGTTCAAAGTGATTGTCTTATCGCCATAGAGACCGCCATAGTTGCTCTTCTTGAAGACTGAATGAAAAGAATGAAAATGTTGAACTTTAGTAACGAGCTGTGATGAGAGATGGGCGAGTTGAGTAACTAACCTGGATCGATCTCAGCAACGAACGAGCGTGGTGGCAATGCAGCGGCATAGAGCTTGTCCAGAGGGCCATAAGGCTTGGACAGCAGAGGACGGCCCTGCTCCCAGCCATAACGGTTCAATGCATACCAATTGGCACCATCCAATTTGGCCGAGGCGGCAGCAGCACCAGCAGCATTGGTCAGAGCAGCAGCCTGAGCCTCAGCGGTGTCGACGGGCTTGACAACGTCGATAACACGACCCCTACCATAACGATTGACGATGGGTCTGACGGGTCCGTAAGCCAGGCAGATGGAGAGGCAGCAGGCCATCAGGCAGAGCAGACGCATATAGTTTGCGGACATGTTTGGTTTTGGTTGGTGCGAGGAAGCGACTGTTTTCAAAACTAATTAACAACTGCGCATGGCCAAATTGCTTTTATAGCCACTATATTTGAGCTGCCATGCGATTTGTGTGTACGCTTTACGTGACCAAAGCCCAAGTCGATGCCCCACTCATGACGAAACCTACGCTGCGCCACACTTTGGGACCGCCGGCTAGCAGCCAGAAGAAGCTGTACCAAAATCCATTCTATTCAATGCTGATAAGAGCATGAGCGACAGACGCAGTCTTCGGTTTCAGTTTTATTTTTCCAGATTTTCGGTGTCGGTTTACTCTTGACCACGACAATGACAGTCCAAAGAGTAAGTAGCTGCTCCCCATTGATATCGTCGTTTTCCCCTCTGCTCGGCACGCTCAGCTCGCATTTGGTGTGTGCGGTATCAGGTCTTTGACTTGGCTACCTGCCCACAGAACAACACACCATCATCTCTCAATGAACCACCCTATGACAGCATCTCTGCTCTGCTCTGGAACGCTCGCTCGCATTCATCACTGCTGTGTCATGGCATTTGACATGGCATCTCTAATGTCGTTCGTGATAGCTCTCTGGTATGCACTGCAATTGCTGGTTATAGCTGGTTATAGCTGGTAAGCTGTTTAGCTGGCCCAAAGACACGCATCCGCTCAACTCTTGCATTTTCATTGTCTAGCTTATTTGCTGGCAAACTAAGCTTAGCTGATAATCGAACTTGGTTCAAGCTTTAAGCAGCTTCTAACTGTGTGTGTGTGTGTGTGTGTATGGGAATATATGCGTGTTGTTAAACTTCTTTAAACTTTGACGCCATTCAACTTAAAAGCTTTAAGCTTCGTTTTATCACGCATTATGCAAAAAGTACTACAGTAAGAACTGTGCTGTGAAAAATTGGTGTTGTTATAGGTAAAATATCATTGTGGAAAAGTTTTATAAAGAAAGTTATTAATGAATGAGCCAAGTTTCCTAATCATCTTAATTTAGCATCAAGGCAAATAAAATATTTTTAAGGTTGTTTAATAAATGATCTCTTAAAGATTGTGATGCCATCCATTCAATTGGCTAATAACATCAACTTTACACTTTTTTCCGAAGATCTGCATATTTTATTATAGAGCATTAAAAAATGCGCAATATATTTTTAGATTATGTAGTTTAGAATATGATAATAGTATATGTAAATACATTTTAAGTGCGGCCAGTCGACTTAAGAAATATTTTATGAATTATAAATAGATTTATGGCTCTATGCAACATATGGTATTTAAAATTTATTCACATCTCGAGCACCTTCTTTCAAATATTTAATATATCATCACAGCTGCATTTTAGTTTCAATTTAGCCAATAGCTTTGAACTCATTTAGTTTTGGTGACTAAGACTTATCTTAGTTTAAGTAGTTTCAGGTTGACTGCATTGGCAACTAACAATAATCAAATTGAAGACTGCATAATTATTTATATGCAATATAGGCACAAGCACGCTCTGCATTCCCAACCACATCGAGTTGCAATCAAAACAAAGCAGCTGCAGCTGCCAACACAGACAACCGACAACAGCCAAACATTGGCGAACAACAACTGGCGGTGGCCGGAACCACTTATCTAAACCCACCCAAAGCCTCTTAATATCAATACAATATTTTGTTTTGTTTTCTTTTTTGTTTTCAAAATTTTATTGGCGCTGTTTGCACAACGAACTCTTCCATGTTATTGTTTTCAGAGATTCGGAGAGAGCAAAGTACTCAAAGGGTACTTTTTAGTAGCCAACTTGGCTGCCATAGTTGTTCTGGGGTATATACAGCTTGGCAACTGGAGCAGCAGCACGGACGGGCAGAATCACCTTCGAGTACTCGACGGGCGACGAAATGCGACGATAGCTGTTCTGGCCTGGATACAGGAGAGTGGCGCCAGCAGGCTGGACAGTAAAACGGGGACGAATATAACGCCCACCATAGTTTCCACCAATGCGTCCACCAAGGTGTCCACCAAGATGTCCACCAAGGTGTCCACCAAGGGACCTGCCACCGCCGACAATTTGTGCGATGCGGCCGATGTTGTCATTGAGTCCGCCATGGTAACCAGAGTTTAGGAGGATTGGGCGCAGATTCTGGCTGGAGCCATAACGGGGAGCACCACCAGCAATGATCTCAACGGGGCCATTGTCGCCACCGGAAGCAGCAGCCGAAGCAGCAGCGGCACCATCACCGGACTGCTGTCCAATGCTGGAGACACGACGGAGTCCAACATTGATTGGGCCACCATAGCCGATGGGGCTACCATAGCCGCCGCAGCTGCCGACAGCCAGGCAGGCGCTGATGAAGATCGCAAGAGTCTGCATGGAGAGTGGAAATCGATGGTTAATGACGGCAAACGGAAATTGTGCCAATTGGCGCCAAATGTCATCGACTACTTACGGCGAATGTGTTCATGGTTATGCTTTTAGTTATTTGAGGGGCGCTCGCTGCTTGGAACAGTTGGCACAATTAACAAACCAAATGCCAAGAACACTTCTTTATATAAGCAAAAATAATTGAAGCACTCGAAACGTGATCTCGCCGCGAATTTATCACGGCGCTGAGCTTCAGCTTCAGCTTCTTAACCACCGCTCAATTTTCTTCTTCTCGGCGATGACGGTGGGCGTTCATCAGCCCCAGTTTCAGCCTCAGTTCATCTTCTTCTTCTTCTTCTTCATCATCATCTTCTTCTTCTTCTTCTTGGTTTTTTTCTCTGTCGAAATCGCACCTGCATATCGCCTGAGCAGCTTGTTCGACCGTCTCTCGTATCGGCGACACTTGAACCCCACATTGGGGGTGTTCATCTCTCGTTGAACTGCTTCCCAATATGTGTGCCACTAAATGAAGCTGGCGGTGCTGCTGCTTCGTGAGAGCATGCAGCTGGATAAGAAGCAGCCTCCCAATGCACTCTCTCTCTCAAAACAATTAAACAGACTTCAGTCTTTAGACCCGCTACGAAATGGCAAGAGACTCTTTAACTTAAGGCTATTTCTATTTGTGTTTGCTTATATTATTTAACTTTTATATTTGTTGTGTAAGGCTATCTTAAATACTATCAAAGTATGGTTCTTTCTCAGAAACCAATTTACATTTCATCTAACTCATTGTAGCAATCTCTTCTAAAGCGTTTCTTCAACAAATTGTTTTGAAGACCAGTAAAGAGGATACTGAATTGTAGCCTGACTGATTGATCTTTGTACCTCAATTTACTGCTATCAACAATTCTTTATAATCTATTTGCAAATTGAAAGCTGCATAGTTTTATGCGAGCTCAACTCCTTGACTTGGAGGCACCCGGTAATTCCAGCTCAGACCATTTAAGGCCCACGCTCAAAAGTATGTCACATTTTCTAGCTGCCCAGTAGACAAAAGACAAGTAGTAGAATTTTTTGTTCAACATGCTCCGCGGCATTCAGCGGTTTTTATTTAGTCACAGCTTTGGCAACAGCTTCTTTTTCTTCATTAGCTGTTGCTGGTCCATTGAACAAATTGTCATTTCGTTCAATTGGAGGTGGCTGAATTAATAGCCCAGACCTCCGCCATAACCACCGTGACCACCAAGGATGCCACCATCAAGCTCGTATCCGATGACGCCACGCTGGTTGTATAGACCGGAATTGACACCAGAGGAGGCAGCAGCGGCGGCAGCAGCAGCACTGGGGTTCGAAGACTTGGAGATCAGAATAGGTCTGCGTCCATAGCCACCGCCATGGTTCTGAAGGTAGCCAACATTACCCAGTCCATAACCACCCAGACCAATGTTGCCATATCCACCAGCGCTAACGCAGGCGAAGAAGGCGATGGCGACAAAAGCAATCTGCAAGTAACAAAATAAAAACCCACAGGATTAGTATGCCTGTCAAGCAGTGAATAGTGCCAGGATTACTTACCAGGAACTTCATGTTGAATATTTAGTTTTGTTGGTTGTGGTAATCAATCAAACTATGATTTACTTGCCAGCAACGTTCGCTTTTATATGCAAAATTAGACGGGATACTTACGTGACCCTCCATATATTAATATGTTTATTTGTGTATATATATATACATACCTGTGTACATCTATGTATTTACCATGTTGTTTAATTTCTATGTCAGTGATATATTTCATAATTGCCAAGTACATAAGAGAAACTTGTTATTATGTACTCGCAGTTGTAGTTTTGTTGTTGTGTCTCGAGCAATTATAAAATCGCTGGGTTACGCGATGTTTCGTTGTTTCTGGCCACTGATAATGTCCAGGCCAAAACCCGCCCCTCGACTTGGGTTCGACACATACTAAACACAACAAAAAATATATATAAAAATAATATAATAATAATAAGTACGAGCACTTCGTGAGTTCTCAATGAATCCGCGAAACGAAACACACGCCATTTGTAGCCCCAATTTATTGCAATGTATTTGGAATTCTTGGACTTGAAATTATACTCACATTCCAACGAGTAACACTCAATCGAGCAGTCACAAATGGAGCTGTTGCCAGTGCATTTTTGAGACCGAATATGCTTCAAATAAATTCATGAGCGTACAGGACGACCAGCACTTAATCAAAATAACTAAGATACATTATCGATAGATTCGACTTGGATTCAAATTCAATACTTCAATAGCAATATCGATTTACTATTAGTTGACAAAGGTTGTTGTATATTTATTTGAAGTTCACAGTTTGTCTATATATAGAAATCAACAAACTAAAAACTACAAGTCTTTAAAAAGCTCTTTGCAATACTTCTACAAATTATGACAACATTAATTTAAGCGTCTCTTGACAGTTTGCCCACAAGCCATAAATATCATTCTTTGCATGCAGCTTGTTCAGCCATACAAAATCACGAAGCTGAAAGTTCTCCAGCAATTTACAAAGACCCAAAAAATGACAAAAAGTTGTTAAAGTTTTGATGTTTCATTGCTTTTTATTACTTCCTACTGCCTTATGCGTCTATAAGAACCAGAGCTTTTCAGCTGTGCTTAATCACTGTTGCGTTGCTGTTGCTTAATAGCCGCCGTTCTGGTATCCCTTGTTCTGGCCAGCCACGGAGCTGGAGGCAGCGGCAGCCGAAGCGCCCTGAGCCTGCTCGATTGATCCGTAGCCCAATGGCTGCTTGTAGCCGCGCTGTGGGCCATAGCCGGACACCTTGATTATCCGACGGGGCTCGTTCAAGACCAGAGGACCACCGGCACCGGGTGCAGCCAGGCTAAGCTTGGCCAGGCCGAGGGCTTGACGATCAACGGGTGCGACACCATAACGGGAGTTCGGGGTCCACACAGCGGCAACGGGGACCTCAACGCTGCGACCGTAGCCCCTGCCGTAGCCCCTGCCGCCGCCATAGCCGCCACCATAACCGCCAACGGGCACGATAGAGCTAACAGTCAGAGCAGGCTGCACCTGATAGGCCAATCCACCAACGGGCACACGTCCATAACCCACATTACCATAGTCGGAAGCAGAAACAGCGGCGATGGCGCAAACGAAAAGGCACTGCAGAAAATAATGTGGATTGGGAAAAATAAGCAACTGGTTGCCAAATGGGATGCGTGCAGGATTCGCAGACACTTACCATGAACTTCATCATTTTATTTGGATAGTTGGTGTTAGTTTGTCTTTGGGTAGAGTTAACTAATGTCTGACTGGAGCGCCCCGTTTTGTTTATATAGTAAAAATCCAGGCAATGCCAATACGCTTACGTGACGAATATGATGCAAGGTTTTTGGCTCTGGCAGACGATCGTCTCTGTGCGTTCTTTGTGTTTTCCAATTGCAATCTGAAGACGTCGCTTTTGCCGCTGGCGACGTGCAATCCAATCCAAACAACTGCATGTCTAACCCCCTGAACTCAGTCCAAAACTCGCTGCTTAATTCGGCGCGGGTCCAGATAGCAGGCGTCTGCTCTTACGCCATCGTCTGAGAGTGCTCCCTGCTCCCTGCTCCACATCGTTCTCGTCGTCGTCGTTGTGGGCGTCGTCGTCATTACGCAAGCTGATGACTCGTGCGTGCCAATGAGTAGTCGGCGTCATTTTGATCCACATTTTGACAGTGTTTGCACCACTGTGGCGAGCTTGACACAATTATTCAGCGGTGCACAAACAGCAAAAGGCATTGACTTGAACTTTCTGCTGCGTTGGTAAAATTTATATACAAAAGCAAAAAAAGTTACGATAAAATTACAATAAAATTATAAAGTATAAACAAATTTCGAATTGCAGCGCAAAGCACTTTATAATACTAATAAAACATTGCAAATGATTTGAACTTATTGAAATGCGCTACCCGCAACAGCGGCGGCATATTCACTCATAATTATCCATCACAAAATAAGTGCTTTCTTGAGTATTATTATGGATTTTTATTATTTTTGGCATATAAATATTGTGATTATTTATAGGTTTTCACATTAAGTCTAAGATTCAGTTCATTATATTTAGCATAGAAGGAATAGAAATAGAAATGGTATTGATTGGTAATTTACTCTAATTACACTTTTGGATTAAAAGACTTGAAGATCATATCGTAAGTCAGTGAGTTAACTTTGAAGAGAGAGCAATTAAAACTTTAAGATAAATCTTTGAATCAACAAGCAAAGAGTAATAAACTATGACAGTGTTTCTTTTAAATTAATCGTAAACTTAATAAGACAATTCTCTCACATTTTGGGTGAGAATGAGAATATAACTCTCGATTACTCAAGCATCATCAGCTTGTTTAACAACATACTTAACAACAGAAGCAGTCCAAGATTGACGCACACCCAGTGCACTGGGCTCTCTAATCTTGATGAGGGGCACGTCTGGCGGGAGCCACGCGACTTTATAAGAGCAGCGCGCCCGTCAGCCCGTACAGAAAACTAAATCCCCACAAAATGCGTACTATGTGGCTCAAGGTAAGATGTGTGATTTGTAATGTTTAAGCGATTGCTTCGATTGATGAGGCTAATGGCTTGTTTTCTTTTTGAGCAGATCATACATGTGGCCATTGTGCTGGCAGTGGTTGTGTTCGAGAAGCATATTGCCAGTGTTGCCGATGCCAAGCAGTTGATGAACGATTGCCGCTGCCAAAGGCGGGGCTAAACAATAATTGTAGCAGCGTATTCGAGAGACGAGAGACGAAAACACACATCAATAAACACAAGGCGGGTCGATTGTATATATGTATACAAAATTTGAACTGTTCTTTTCTTTTTCTTTTTTTTATCAAACTCGTTGACGACACGTACTGCAGAGCGCTTGAGTAGTTGATTCTAGTCGCTGGCCAGCTGAGTGCCGCACATGGCTTTCAGCCGGGTCAGCAGCGTGTGCAAATGGTGTGAACGTGAAATTGACGTTGTTGCTGTTTGCTGTGCGCCTAATCCATGTTTCCCAGTCAAGGTTTCCATATACATGCGCTTGTACAACGCCGACAGCTGTTTTGGATCCTTGCCGGTCGTTAGCAACAATTTGATGAGCGTTTTCAAAGCGTTCTGCAATCGGCTTTCATAGAGAGTCAAATGCACTTTAAATTCATCGTCATCGTCGCCGCTAACGTTGCCACTGTTATCGATAACATGCCCAAAAATAAGCTGGCACTGCAAACAAATCTCTAAAGCCGCCTGCATTTGTTTCACCTTCTGTGCAGCGTGACTGGAAACTACAAAAAAAAAAGAAAGAATAATAGCATTTGTTTGTAAGTATGCCAAAACTAGCTGCTTTATTGCGCTCACCATCCGAGAGAAACTCATGCAGTGAGATGCGCTCCAATTGCACCACCAGCAAGTCCCGCACCTCCTTCAGACTCTCCAGTATTTGTGTGGCCTTCTCGTAGTGGTATTTGCACAACTGAAGCGTTGATTTCGGCAGCTGCGACACATCAGAAACGCCATAGCCACGCAGTTGTGCATAGTGGAAGGATGCAATGCTGCAGAAGGAGACAATTATCACACTTTACACAAATCGAACAGAAATCTAGGACAATAAATATTACCGCTTGTGTATCAAGCCCGAGCGGAAGCTATAAAGCACTTGGCGTGCGCCTGCATGATCCACATCGCATAGCCGCAGCGACTTCTGCAGCAAGTCGATCACCTCCTTGGATGCCTCGGCCAGGCTGCTCTTATCGGCTGCACTGTTGTCTTGCAACTGTTTGGCTAGCGTAAATGTGGCCGTCGATAGTTCCCATTGCACCAGATCCCACAGCTCTGCATTGGCCTTCCTTGTGTCCAGGCAATCCTTGGCCTTTTCGTAGTAGTTGAAGGCCTCGTTATAAAACGTTTTCTGTGTGTCCAAGGCAATGGTGCTGCGGATTAAGCAAACATTAGAAATACTTTAGAGAGTGGAGAGATTATAAAATATACAAACAGATACATACCTCTCATTGGGCATGGTGAGATGAGCACGCAGCCTCATAAATCTGCCCATGTTGCAGTAGAGAAAGGCCAGATTCACATTATCCTCTACTGCCGTGAAGGCTTCAATGCCGCGACGCAGGCAGTCATATGAATTGACAGTCAGTTTGACATACAGCGGCTCCGCTGATGCAGAGGCAGATGCAACAGTCTCAGTTTTAGTATCATTTTCAGCCTTTGAGCATTCTTCACCCTTAGTTTGGGTTGCTTCCCTTTTGCGTTTCATTTGGCTATACTCCTCTGCAAGGCAAGTAGATTGAGTGATTGTTAGGCAATTGAGTAGGGTTATCTTCTAGAGAGACTTACCCTGAGCGGAGTACATGTATTTGAGACCCAGCTCATTGCGTACGTTGCCCAAGCGACGCAACAGCTCATTGCTCTCCGCGCTCTTGGCGTGCTCCAGCGCCTCTTCGTAGCATTTGCAGCTATGTAACATGACCTGCTCCACATTCTTGGAGGGCGCCAGTGTGAGCAGCTCGACACCGTCCAGTTCCTGTGCCAGCTCGAGGGATATTTCACGTGTTGGCTCATCCAACTGTTCATATTGCTGCACATACTCCTCGATGGCGCTCCAATGCTTCGAGATTTGAAAGAAACAGTCACCGGCACGACCCAGCAGACAGCTCTGCTGGGAGACCACGTTGGCCATATACTTGTTGAGCACCTGCTGGCAGCGACAGGCCAGCTCGATGGCACGCAGCGTACAGCCATAGATCTGGGCCTCGTAATGGTGTTCCGCTAGCGTGGCATAGGTGAGACAAGCTTTCTCCAGCAGCAGCAACCTTAGATGCACATTCCACGAGCCAAAGTGTTGAGTATTGAACTTGGCATTGAGCTGCTGATTGCTGGCAGCTGCAGGTTTAGGGCAATTTGTGGTGGTGACCAGTTCCTTGGATTTGCCACGCTTCCGCGTAGTCTTAGTGGGTTGCTTTTTGGTCTGCGCCTGCGCTGCCGGCGGAAAAATCTTGAGCTGCTCATACGGCAACGGTATGGCATTGAAGGGTTTGGCCATATTGGGATTTTGCTCTTCGTGCAGGATGCGCTCCTTTTCCTCCTCCTTGGCGTGCATCTCTGACTCCTTGAGCTTCTCCTCCTGATTGTCATTGAAGTACTGCAGACAGGAGATGCCAGCACTGATGTGCTGCAGCGAGATTTTGCAACGATCCACAGTGCTGGCGATTAGAGGCGCCGGCTTGGGTTGTTTGGCATGCGACTTGAAATCCCGCAGAGCATCACAAATGTGACGCACGGCAACATTGGCTTTGCCTCCGCTTTGCTCTGAGCTCTGATAGTACTTGTCATGGCCAAAATCAAGCGGTGGCTCATCATTATCATAGCTCTCCACCTCCTCCTCGTCGTCTTCGTCCTCCTCATCTTCCTCATCAATGTCGTCGTCATCGAATAGAGTTTGTGAGTCATTGAATTTCGGTGCCTTGGGATCAATGCCGGCGGGCACATGCAAATCGGAGAGTATATAGTGTGAGGAGCTAACAATCTGTGGATACTGCTCCTTGGGCAACAGCTTGATGCAGTTGTCCAGCAATGCGCGTATATTTCCCGCCGCCTTCGGCGTTATATGCTCCAGCGTATTCTTCATGTTGCGTGCCACGGAATACAACAACATGCCAACGGGCACCGTGAACGGATTCATTTCCTGCTGTTGTTTTTGTGGTCGCTCTGATTTCTCACCCGCTTTATTCTGATTCTGGCAGAGAGTGGTCAGATCGTAGAGCTTCACGACATCATCATTGCGACCCTTGAACAGCCAGTAAGTGTGTCCCGCCTTGGTTGCATTCGCCTTGAGAAAAGCCAAAATATTCTGGGCCACATTGCGAACGACCTGCGGCGAGAATTGTGAATTCTCCAGATAGGGCAAATCCTCAGTCTTGATGATCTCATATTTCTGGACAATACCATCCAAATGATAGCACATGACCACCTCGGGCACATTGCACATCAGATTGTCCAGCCAGTAATCAATGCCCGTGAGCACATTAATGGGTTGAGCAGCATCCCAAAGCCACAAACTGATGCAGGGCCTATTTGGACCACCAAAGATAGGCATATCGGTGCCGATAAGCATGCGTATATCCTCGAAAGTCCACACGACATTCCGATTGAAGGCGTGACTCGACTTCGGATCGGGCACATTCTCCTCGATCTTCGGCTCCGGCAGCACGGGACCAGTTATTGGTAGACCAGTGCGTCTGCTGGTCAGCAACTGGGGTGCATCGCTATCAGCATCGCCAGTTTGCTTGAGACTGTGGTACAGAAACTTCGAAAGAAGATTCTTCGTTTGCAACGCCTCGCGTGAACGCTCCTTGAGGCAGAAATTGTGCTGCTGCTCATCCTCGTAGGCCAAAATGTGCTCCAATATAAACGTGCGCAGCCATTTCCAATCATCATCCGATTTGCGTAGTAAATATTTTTGTATATCGAACTCATCCAGCAGCAGTGTGTTGCCCACCTTGTGGACAACCATGCTGATGGCGCTCTTAGCGCTATACGGCAGTTTCAGTAGCTGTTTAATGTTCTCCGAATCCGAGACGACATCCACCTCGCCCACGCAGTCGGGAAACATTTGACCGAGGCGAAAGCTGGCAAAACCCGCACTCTGATACAACGCTTGATGCAGGCCATGACTACTGTGCGACGTGGTCAGCCAGTTGAGGGGCGGCAGATTAAGATTAGTGTTGCACTCCAGGCGCTTGAAGTGAGCAGGCACCTGGACTGGAGACAGCTTTATTATCGCCTGACTTTTCACGGCGTCCGACTCGTGCGGGCCAATGCTGCGGCAGGGTTCAATCTGATATGGACGCGTGTTAACTTAATTGCTTTAACAGGGCATGCTAGTCTTACCTCTTCGTTACTATCTTCCATTGCTATGACTTTTCAATACAATTTAAGCATTAAAACCAAATCGTTCACGAATATTCTACAAAGTTATAATTTGTTATGCCGGCAAACAGCTGTTCAACAGCAACCAGCCCTGGCACTGCCAGGGTTGCCTTTACATCGCATCAAATAAATATAGAAAACACACGGAGCTATCAGCTGTTATCAGCACTCGGTTTTCATTCCCCTCGCTATAAAAGACAAACCAAAATACAGTAATTTGTATAAAACTAAGAGAATGCAATTGTTTATACAGATAGCGCTGATGTGCCTAATCAACACACTCCTGCCAGACATCATACGAAACTACGTAAGTGAAGAAAATAACAATATGTCACATTTAATCACCATCCTCAACTCACGCGTTGCAGCTCAAAATTTCTCGTTTTTGGAAGAGAACAGCGGCAAACACACAAATCCTACAATCAACGCTAGACGCAGCACGTGAGGAACTGGACAATGTGCTCACCGCTCTGCATGCGGGCGAATATGCCAAAAAGATCAAAACAATGCGTGCCGAGCGCAAAGTTGCCGAAGCCGAGTCCAACATCAAAATGGCCAGGCAAATGGAAGTAATTAAACAGTCAACCATCGATACGGTGGCCTACTATGTGTCGAAGGTGCTTCTCTCCCTGATCCTCATCATCGTTTGTGCCCGCAATCGCCACGCGCCCGTTATGGTCTTCGACGATAGTTTCAGTCTTGCGCCGCTGAGCGGTTTGCTCAGTTTTCCGACTGGCGTTTATAACGCGATTTCAGTACCTGTTTGGGCTTTCTCATGTAATTTCACCTTTCGCCTACTCTACGGTTTGTTGGCGAAGAAGTGATTTGGAACGGGATGATTTGTATCTTTTTGTATTTAACTGGAATTAAGTCTTACTGTTAAAAGTGCTCGATTATGTATGTATGTATGTAGTTTGCTTAGCTTCATCAAAATTTTAACAAATTACTCATTAAGTCCTTATGTACTTTGCACAGAAAGTAACAAATACAACCGGAGAATTGTAATTTGTCCTCTATGCGAAAGCATTTTAAAGCACGCGCTTGAGTTTAATAGTTAAATATCGCAAGGAAGTATCGATATATTAATTCACATTTAAGTGCGGGAAAATATAGGATTGTAATAAATACTTGAATGAAAGTACAAATATATGTGTGTCCTTCTGTGTTGGAGAAGATAAGGAGAAAAGAAATATAAAACATAACAAGGCAGCTAATGCTTAGTAATTAATCGTAGAAACAAACACAAACTTGTCTCGACACCCTGGTTTTAGATGTCAACTTGGCATCGATGTTTTGCCGCCATCCCTAGTTGATAGCCATAGCAGTTTTAGTTGAGCAGCACTTGATAAATGTGTATTTCTCGGAGCTCACTGCAACAAAATGGATAACTTAAATGAAAATACGCAGGATAAGAAGCCAATAAAGCTGGACACAATTGATGTGACGCCCATTGTGGCAGCACTGCTGCTGGGCTTCATTGTAGTCGGTAAGTAGTCGGCACCACGCCACGTCGATGGAGGGGGGACAACAACAGCAGTTTTTATTGATGATGGTCGCAATTCAAAAATTTCGCTTTCAGCTCTCTATGTGATTTTGAGGCGACGCTCAGTTGGCCGGCGTGACTTTCTGCTAACCGGTTTGTGTGAGGCGGGCAAGAGTGCCATATTTATGCAGCTGGTGCATGACAAATTGCCGGACACCTTCACTTCGAGCAAAGAGAATGTCGGCGAATACGTTTCGGGACACATGTCCGGTCGTTTGGTGGACATTCCTGGCCATTATCGTGTGCGCGATAAGTGCTTCGATCTGTACAAGCGCAATGCTAAGGGCATTATATATGTGGTGGACTCGGTGACGGCGCAGAAGGACATTCGTGACGTAGCAGAGTAAGTGTGTGTGGCATGAGGCATGTGGCAAATTAATGGAAATCATTTCGATTCTTCTATTCTAGCTCACTGTACACAATTCTGTCGGATAGTGCCACACAGCCGTGCTCCGTGTTAGTGCTGTGCAACAAACAGGATCAGACAACGGCAAAGAGCGCACAAGTAATCAAGACTCTGTTGGAGAAGGAACTGTAAGTAGCCTAAGCATCCAATAGATTAGCCGTGACTAATGCGATTCTCGTTTTGCTTCTTCTAGAAATACAGTGCGCGATACGCGTAGCCGTAAACTGCAGTCTGTGGGCGATGATGAGGTAAACAAACCGATTGTGCTGGGCAAACCGGGACGCGATTTTGAATTCACACACATCTCACAAAACGTGCAGTTCTACGAGAGTTCGGCTAAGGAAAAGCAATTGAGTCACCTGACGGACTGGATTGATCGCATGTTGTAAATGCTGATGGACTGAAGAAATAGTAAAACACCATGATATTTATAAGCGTTGGGAGTTCGCTTCAAATGCATATTTACTACTTACTACTCTTAGAGTAAAATCCCGCAACTGTTAAATCCTTTCAAATTTGTCGTTCCTTCCTCCTGCTTCCCTGTACTACATCGATATATAGGTTTAAATTCAAATTTTATAATTAAATCTAGATCTTTTTAATAAGATTTATGAAACAAAAGATGTTTTTTCAATTCCAGATTGTTGGCTAGAAAACCGATTGTCTTTTTCAATATGCTCAATTATTTAAATTTGGCATTTGACAGATTTGCAGGAAATCTAAGTGGATTGATCTGCGAATATTAGAAACAATTTAATCTACAAAAAACACGTGGCAGCAACTCAATTCAATGTCTATGAAAACAATTTAAATTATGCGCATTTAAAAAGATTTTGCATTTGCGAAATGAACTGCTTGATGCACTGCTTGCTTACCTTGCTACGTTTTGCAGCCCAAGAGTATGCAATATAAAATATTCAAGAGCATTTAATGAAAAGGATGGCCAACCAAAAAACTGCATAAAATCTTCATACAAGATTTCAAAATAAATTCAAGTTCGTAAGTTTTCCTTGAGCAGTTGCCTTTGTGCGTTGTTCGCTTGACGCTATCTTAAATTCCAGCAAAAATTCTAACCAACTGGCCCAGAATCGTATTAGGCAAATACCCAAAATGTTTGGCGCATGCGCAAGCTTCAAACCTTTTTCGCGATTTGAAACCTTTGCGCAGCAGCAGCTGTCGATGGCTGAGCTGACCCATCCATCCATCCATCCATCGATCGATCAACTGACCGGCCAAAGATCAAACAGCCGCTAAAGCAAAAATCAATGAGCTCGATCTGTGCTCGTCTCCGCTGACTAGATAGAGTTTCTAGGCTTTGCAGAATTTCTAAGAATTGCGAGCTTTCAAGATTTGCCGAACGGATCTGCTGGGCGGATGTTTGACAGTCGGCGCTGTCCGCGTTGACGCCAGCTGCCATTCTCTAATGTTGCCAATTTTTGGAGTGCCAACGTTGGTGGCATCCTCCTTTGATGGATACAAAACCGAAAACCGAAAACGAAAACGAATTTCGAGGAAAAGCGCGAACAGCGCTCAGCTGAGCGAGCATAAATGCTTTGCCTGCCTCTGCTCTCCACTGGCTGACTGATCAATAAACTGACCCTGACACGCTGCCCATGTCCCATTCAAGAGTTTCAGTTTCCCTCTGGCAAATGTGTTAGGAACCCATTAAAAATTCATCAAGTTGGTACACTAAAGTTCTGCAAATGTGTATAACGGATGGGTTGGGGTTGTTTTCAAGTCGAGCGATTAGTGGGGAGACTTTGTTGGCTGAGAATGTGAAATATTTTGCGCCTTCATCTCTATGGAATCTAATTACCAATGCATTATTCAATTATAGCTAATAAATGGTATTAATTTTGTGCATTTAAATTAAGCGCGCTTTTAACAATATCATTTAATCGTTATTTAATAGTTTTGTATCTATTTGTTTTTATTGCCTGAGGCTCGCTGCGGCAGTCGCCAAATGCTCGTGGCGTTTAAATAAAAATAAATGAATATTTATTACATCTAATAGGTTTTTTGGGTTTTTTTTTGTTGCTGTTGTGAGTTGAAAAAGTAAAGTGAAAGAGGATAAATAAAATTTGTTCGCTGCAAAGCTAATGTTTTTGTTGCGCAACTTGGTGTTTGCTGCCTGATGCCGCTAATAGGAGTTTTTTGCCATTTAATTTGTGGGGAAAATTGATGTGTGAAGTGCAAAGTGAACTGCGTCGACTAAGAGTGGATTATTATTATGTTGTTGTTGCAGCTGTCGGTGAGTGGCTCAATATAAAACAATTATTGCTTGACTTAAATTCATAAAATCACATAAAAAGGAAATTCTTTTAGCAATGCGCTTCACCCATTAAAAATGCGTGAAAAGCTTATTAGAAAATTAGCAAATGCTTTTGCATAGCATACACATGTGAAAACCAGTTGGAATACTGCCAGCGCTTAACTAAATAAAAGTATCAGTAAATATATATTTATCTATGTATATTTAGATACACTTCTTATTAAATACTTCAAAACGATTCACCCAAAATTGACAAAAGAAAGGACTCTTGAACAAAGAAATTACGATCGTGTCGGATATATATATCATTTTATAGCTTGTATTATTATTTGATAATTTCGAGACTAAAGCTTAAAGATTTCAGTACCCACCAAATCAAAGCCAGCGCTTCCTGGCTCTAAGTTTTTACCCTCTGCGGCTGCAACAGCGCGCCACATGGCAGTCGTGATTCGGTGTCATGTGCATTGGAGCACGTGCTACACTAAAAAAAAAGTAAAAAAAAATCAAAGTACAGCCAGACTTTTTACAGCTGCAGACAAAGACAAAGAAAGAGATGACGACAATGCGGTCCATATGTTTCAGACACGCTTTAGCCAAGCGGAAGAAGCGCCTTTTAGGGCTGTCTCCGAGTTGGGTCTGCGTACACAGTAGCTGCTAATTATGCACAGCTGATTAGGCAGACAAATGCAACAGGCCTCTTTTTTTTCGCTGGGGGGAGACACAGTTTTGAACAAAAAATACGATATGCTGCAACGGGTCCGATTACCGAAATGCTGCCAAAAAATTCACTGGAATACCAGACAAGAGACAAGAGAGTTGAGATTAAAGCTTTGTGTGTTGTCCTATTGAATTACGGGCAGATTAGCAGACCGTTAGTGGACTAAGTGGACTTGGTTAGCGTCAGCCTGATTGGGCAATAAATCAGCGTTATTTCGACTATTATTCTTATATTTTTTTAGAAAGTAATAATAATGGCAAAAGGTGTATTTATATATTGATTTATACATATGCATATATAGAGCTAAATGTTATGTGTTATTGCTCCTTTCTGATAATTTAATAAGTCTGCACGGCAATTACGCTGCTTGAGGCAAGCTGCTGGTCAAAAAGTGAAGCCGGCCCAACAGTTCAGTTTTTATGTACACAGACAGCGACGTTTTGTAGGTTTTTTCCCTTGATGCTGTTGAGGTGTTTGGTGGTACACGTTGCGCATCTTTGTTTTCTCCACATATGCAATTTATTTTAACACATCGTTAAAGCACAAAAAATATAAATCTTGACGCGCTGGACATTGCAATTATCACCTCTGCATAATCAGCAATGCCAACAACAACAACAAATTGAGCAACAAGATGCCGTCAAACAACGAGAGCAACGGATGCCCCGCGGTTGCAAGCTCGAACTGAAGACGCGACAGCTGCCACAACAGCCTCTTTTAGCTTTCATTTTTGGCACTACCCCGACCCACGCGGCCCAAATACACTCAGAGAAACGAAACAGAACAAAGTTTGAACTCAAAACGCAGCACAAGCATTGTTAAAATCAAAAATGCATTTTCATTTTGTGCCGCTTTTCTGCGAGTGTATTTACTTTAGGTAGGCAGTGGCTTTAATAGCAGCCCATTTAGCACCTTGCTGACGCAGCATCTAATTAAACTGCAGTCGAGTGCAGCCTTTTTAGCCAATTTTCATGGATCGGCGGGCCATCAGGGCTGCTGGGCTGCTGGGCTGCTTCACTTGATGGCCAACAGCAGATTGGCAACAATTTCTTGTCATCACCTGGATGGTAACAACGAAAAAAAAGGGATGTTTTCATTTATGATTTCCACGCGAACTTTCTCAATGGGGTCCCCCACATTATAGCTCAAATTTATGATTATTTTTGATTTTTGCACATACAACTTGTTGATTAATTATAATGCGCCAACACTCGCCGTCGCTGTTTCCAGACCCACCAGCAGCTGCTCAGTTTGTTGCCAAATTGAAGTCTTTGTTGGCCGCAAAACGTTTCACATGACACGAATGATGCCCGCTCCAAGCGAATCTCCTCACCTAATTATGGGGTTACACACCGCAGAAGCTGCATCAGAGATGTCTACGTGCTCCTCCTCCTCCTCCTCCTCCTCCTCCTCCTCCTCCTCCTCTCACTCTGTCGGTGCGTGCTGCCATAAGATTGTTTGCATTGGCTGGGAATGCAGCCAAAATGGTAGCTGAAAGATATTCATGTCAATTGCACATCATGCGCTCTTTCATTATGTTTATTTTTATAGGAAATTATACTTAAATGCAATAATTTTGGCGCTTTTGAGAGTAGCTTTCGGGTAGACAGCAGTTGATTGAAATTAATTTCAAGGTTGCGTTTGCACAACAAATTATGGAAATATCCCTTTGCTTTCCAGGTTGTTAGACGCAGCTGCAAACGTGCATATATTTATTTTAATGACTTTATGGTTCATCGAGGGCTTTACTCTTTGTTTGAAAGTCTGTTCGAATTTAACAGAGTTATGGCTATGGAAACTATTGACCCGATCCTACAAGAACTTTCTGTAGGTATTATGATAATATGGAAAATCGAGTTAGAACTGGGTCTTCAACTTTGAATGTAGTCTTTAAGTAGATGTCAAAGCATGATCAAAAATATCTGGCTTATGAAAATCGGTTGAGCTTTGATCGAGTTATGACAGTAGAAATATTAAGCCGTGGAAATAATTTTTAAAATTCGAATTTCTTTAAGTACTTCTTTTATAAGGATTCCTGTATTTAACCACTCTTTATACAAGTTAAAGCATTTAGGAAAGCTAGTATTTAATAGGCTTCTTAAGGGAATATCGATAATCACTTTGATTAGCCTGCCAACTGCTTCGAACGTGTTCAAATTGCTGCTGTTTTCAGCATTGGCCCCACTAAAGTGTGGGCCATAAACAAGTGCGGCCTCCGTCATCTAAATGCAAATGCGCAACAAAATTACTTGAACACGCTCCACAAGCACCATATGGGGCAAGAAGGGAGTGGAGTGGAGGCAGTGGCAGAGGGGGGTATAGCTAAACGGGTACGATGTGGTTGTGTTAGAGGTCCAACGTTGCGGCACGCTACTGTCTATCAAAGGCTTTTGACTTTGGCAAATTAATCAACGAGCAGACGAAACGTCGACGCAGGTAAGAGAAGTGAAGGGTGGAGAGGGGCTGGCAGGGAGGGGAATGGAATGGAGAGGAGAAGCCGCAGGCGGGCATTGCCAAGTAATACGTATGTCCAAAGCGCCGGCATAGAGTACAAAAATTCAAAGCAAGTACATCAAGTACATATATACTGTATGTGTGTGTGTGTGTGTCTATGTGTGTGTGTGTGTGCCG